CTAAAAGCCCTATAAGCCCTAAAAGCCCTATAAGCCCTAAAAGCCCTAACAGCCCTAAAAGCCCTAAACACCCTAAAAGCCCTAAACCCTAAACCGCCCGCCAGGCGGAGCGTCGTGCGAGCAACTCAGGCCTTCCCTTGGGAGGGGCCCTCTTCGGTTTAGGGTTTAGGGTTTGGGTTTAGGGTTGAGGGTTGAGGGTTTAGGGTTTAGGGTTTAGGGTTTAGGGTTTAGGGTTTCTAGGGTTTCTAGGGTTTCTAGGGTTTGGGGTTTAGGGCTTAGGGCCTCCTTGAACCCTAAACCCTGAACCCTGAACCCTAAACCCTGACCCCTAAACCCTGACCCCTAAACCCTGAACCCTGTCCAACGCGGACGTGTCGACCCTGATACAAGTAGGACCAACCCTGAACTGATTGAAAAAACCCTGACAACATCCCAGAAACCCAAACGGGTCGTAAAGCACCCACCAAACTCCCTCAGAACCCTTTAACAAATCCAGTAAAACCTTTCAAAAACATGATTATCCCAAAACAACCGAAAAAAACAGCCGAAAAGACACAAAAAGAAACTACATCCTTGACAAAACCCTCAAAAGCACCGCCACTCGCAGCCCTAACAACCTAAAAGCAACAGAACCAACTTTAACAAAAAGACACATTTAATCAAAACAACTCAACCCCCCCCCCAAAAAAAAAACTTAAACACCCAAACAACTCAAAAGAAACCCCTAAAAGTCAACCTGAACCCAAAAGCCTTTAAAAACCCCAAAACACTCCAAAAACCCTAGAACACTTAAAGCCCCAAAAGCCCTAACAACCCTAAAACACAGAAAAAACAAGCCAAGCTTCTGAATTACTACACCCCACTGAGAGGCGGTGAGGTCTCCGATCCGTTTCGCGGTGGGAGAGCTCAGTGGTTGGTAAAGAGGTTTGGGGTTTAGGTTAGTAAAACTACTGGGTCCCTGGAAGTATAGGGAAGAGGTCTAGGAGTTTTGCTTTGGGGTTTTGGGTGTAGGGCTTGGGGTTTAGGGTGTTGAGGTTAGGGGTTTGGGGTTCACGTCTTTAGGGATTTCGGGCAGGGTCTAGGGTTTAGGGCTTTCGGTAATTTTATGTGCTGTCGGCTGTTAATAAAGACTTAGGGTTTAGACTAGTTTGGAGGTTTGGTGTGTGACTCCACAACCCTGCAAATTCATATGCTGGTTCCTCCGAAATCCCAATCCCTAGACCACAAGGGCGTAACCCTGAAACCATACGCAAAGAGAGAAGGTTCTTAGTAGCTGAGTAGATAACCTTCAATCCTACCACAATTCAAGGTTAACCCTGAAGCCTAAATAACATGTTTTGGGCCAGGGTACTCAGCAACTAGGGGCTTCACCCTACTAATACCTGCCTGCTTCGGGTGTAGGCTTTCAGCTTTCGGGTTTTCGGGGTCTTTTCGAAACGGCAATCCACCTCTTGCGTGAATGTTCTCCGTTTTCTTGTGAGGGCCAGGGCAAATCCCTAAACCCTAAACCCTAAACCCCAAACCCCAAACCCCAAACCCCAAACCCCAAACCCCAAACCCCAAACCCCAAACCCCAAACCCCAAACCCCAAACCCCAAACCCCAAACCCCAAACCCCAAACCCTAAACCCTAAACCCTAAACCCTAAACCCTAAACCTCAACCATGGGCTCTGCAAGTCATGGAGGGACTGCATATGCCGTGCTGCGAGAAACCCCATACTTGCATCAGGGCTTGAGTTTCTGGGTGTGGAGTGCTATACTTTGATAACTTTTTTTTTTTTTTTTTTTTTGGGGGGGGGGGGGGGGGTTAGGGTTTAGGGTTAGGGTTTAGGGTTTAGGGTTTAGGGTTTAGGGTTTAGGTTTAAGGGTTTAGGGTTTAGGGTTTAGGGTTTAGGGCTTAGGGCTTAGGGCTTAGGGCTTTGTTTTGGTTCTGGGCTCCTATTATCGCTACTTATACCCAAGAAGTATATGCTTTAGTTTCCAGGGTCTACTCCAAAGTAGGGGTTAGAGATTAGCCTACTAGAATGCAGCGTCGTGGGGGGCGTGTGTGAACCCGGTATATCTTGGTATGTTACCCCCTTAACAGCCCTTAATAGGGAGTATATTGCGGAGAATTATAATCCCTACGAAGGACTGTTAGTATAAGGGGGAAGATCTCAAAGTATATGAAACAGGGTTTGTATTACTGTCTTTGGTGAGTGTATATAAGGTTCCTTTTTAATATTGGTGAGTGTATATGCGGGGTGTCCTTTTGGGGCGACACGAAATAGGAACCCTGCTCCATATCCTCTGGGTTCCCTAAACTGAGAAACCCTAAACCCTAAACCCTAACCCTAAACCCTAAACCCTAAACCCTAAACCCTAAACCCTAAACCCTAAACCCTAAACCCTAAACCCTAAACCCTAAACCCTAAACCCTAGACAGCAAAAGGATGACTCGTCGGTGACCCCGTCGGCGCGCGCTGCAGCGCTTGCGGCGGCGGCCATGCGAAGCGAGAAGGCTGACAGGGTTTAGGGTTTAGGGTTTAGGGTTTAGGGTTTAGGGTTTAGGGTTTAGGGTTTAGGGTTTAGGGTTTAGGGTTCAAGGGCCCGGGATGTAGGGTTGCTTCTAAGGGTGGTTTTGGGCCTTTGGGGTTCCAGGTTGGGATGCGTCCCCCTAGTACTTGCAGCTCGTGAATAGGGAGATTAGAATAGGGGGGGAGTACTAGAATCCCTATTACGGGCTGTTAGTATAAGGGGGAACATCCGAAGTTTTCGGGTTTGTGTCTTGCATGATAGGTCGTAATATAGATGACGGTGGCTGCGCTTGTAATTTAAAGTCCGAAGGAGAATCTTGCATTTACAGGTCGGGTTTTAGATGGGGGGTGGCTGCCCTTATGCAGTCCGAAGGTGAATTGAGCAAACCCTCCTTGAAGACTCATGCACAGTTACAAGCAGGCCAATTGGCTCTAAAACCATACATGTAGCTTCGAGCATGTTTAACTACCCGTGACTCTCTTGAAGTCCTGTGGGCTGCGGAATTGCTCCTTGTACGGCTTTGGGTCCCGAACTGTGAGGTAGTTACGTTGGCCTTTATGTGTTCCCATACAAAGGGTTTAGGGGTTAGGGTTTAGGGTTACATGGGCCCTTAATTTGTACAGGGTATATGAGGAGTATATAAGGGGTAATCCCCCACTAAACCCCTGAGCCTAAACTCTAGACTTTCAACCCCACACATATCACATAAAGTAGGACGGCCTGGAGTATCTTTATCTTAAACCCTAAACCCCAAACCCTAAACCCTAAACCCCAAACCCTGAACCCCCAACCCTCATCCCCAAACCCACCCTTTTGTAGACTTTGGACCCCTTGCTCGGGAGCTTCTTAACGTACACCTCAGCCCAAGGCATCTTTCGGGTTTAGGGTTTAGGGTTGAGGACTTGCGGGTTTAGGGTTCAGGGTTTAGGGTGTAGGGACCCTGAGCCCTAAACCCTAAGCCCTAAGCCCAAAGCTCTGGAGCCCTGCCCAGGGATCTCCACTTTTCCTTGGGCAGCGGATATCGGGATTCACGATAATAAGGGACCCCTAACATAGACCCCCAAATAGCAGGATCCCCATATTCCTTAACTTGTCCTATGGATGGGTTTCCCACGCGTGATTAAAGCCTAAACCTTTGAACCCTAAACACCAAAATTTGTAGATGTGGGGGGGGGGCGGGGTAGTCAGATCAGACCATTCCCAGTTTGGTCATCCTATACCCCCCCCCCCCCCCCGCCCACGTCCCAACATCTCAATATGAAAAAATCTCTTTTCCCAAATTTTCCCACGCCCATTTCCCCACCCCAGAAAAGCAAGGTTTCGGGGATTGCCAATCCCAAAAAGCAGGTTTTCGGGGATCACCAATCCCAAAAACAGTGCTTTGGGGATCGCCAATCCCAGAAACAGTGCTTTGGGGATCGCCAATCCCAAAAACAGGGTTTCGGGGATTGCCAATCCCACCCCAAGTTTCCTACCCAAGTTCCCCTATTTCCCCACCCAAGATCTCAACCCAACTGACATAGCCCGAAAACGTGAATGGCACCATAGCCCGAAAACGGGAATGGTCTTCTCAAAGAATTTGGTTCAGGGTTTAGGGTTAAGGGTTGTAACAACATTGTAATTATAATATATAACTGCTTATGTATTATAATTACACTACAACTATGCTGGTTAGGCTGTTTAATCCATTAAGACAAACTCAGGTTTCTTCATAAGAGTTCCAACAATTTTATTAAAGTCCCTAATACATACATCTGGATTAAAACCAAAATCGTTTATCTTACTACGAATATTAATATGTTTTTTAATCATCCAATCCTCATATATCCACCTGAGTCTTGTATATCTTCTTTGTGACAATCTCTTGACCAGACTATTTTTAACCCTGTCGTAAATGGGAAAGTCATGTTTAATTGAGAATATTAGTCTATCTACATCATATTCGTGTAGCATATTACGTCTGATAATTCCCTCTATTATTTCTTCGTTGTGTTGGCGTTTTTTACAATTACGGCAAAAATAAGCAAAGCCGTAAATATTATTAATAATATTTTCTGGTAGTGACAATTCATACAGAGTGGAATAACGTTCGTGTTTCTTACAATCTTTACATTTACAATTCCGTCGCTCTTCCTTGAGTTCCCTGAAGTAATCGTGAACCTTGACAACATCCAAGAAGTTATTTGTTATTTCGTCCTGTTCTTGTTGATTGAACATTTCCCTGTTAATATATATATATATATATATATATATAGGCGTTATTTCTTTAAGTCATTTTCCTCAGAAATATTATTTTCTTAAGATTTACTGCATCGCGGTTTATTTGACAGATTTATCCAAGCATTCAGAACAAGTCGCAATGTATTGAACATAATAATAAAAATGCTTATCTTCATTTATAATAATATTTTGTATAATATTATTATACATGCTTATTGTTCATTTATCCAAATTCCGATATCCCTCCATACATGAAGTATTATTTTGAATATTGACTTTCTCAAATCTCTGTCGTCTGTAATTGTCTCAATTGCTTCTCTTAAAATACTGATATTCACATACAGTGAGTCCATACCGCTGTGTTCGTTAAAATTTTCTCCTACTGCCTTAATTTTTTCAAGACTACTAATGTTTTGATACAGTTCAATAATTCCGTCTTCGTCTCTTAAACAAATACTGTGCCAAAAAAGTTCAAATTTACTCTGAACTGTTTTCTCAACTGGTATTTGAACTCGCCATAAATTATATGCTATTTTCCTCCAAAATTTGTCTCCACTTGGTGGTAGTGGGTTTTCAGTTGCAAGTTGAATAATGTCTTGTGGTGTGGTTGCTCCTTCTAGTTGCCAATACATCACTCTAATATTAGATTAGGGTTTATTATTTTAAGTCGTTTTTCTTTAGAACATTATTACCTTAAGAATTAGAATTACAATGCAATAATAACATCTTATTGTTATTACATTATAACTATGCTGGTGAGGAGACTATCTAGTTTGAATTTTGAACAATCATCTCATTTAAGAACTCTGTGGTTGCTTCCAAATTATCATAATGTAATTGTTTGTCTATGTTTACTCGATATTGTAAATAATGTGTTACACTAATGAAAATATGATATACTCTTTGATAATAATTTGCATAACCACATAAAACATCTTTGTAATAATTAATTTTCTCCTGATGCCATTGATAGAAGTCAAATGTATCCAGGTTCTCATACATTGTTTTCATTTCAATATGTAACTCAAGTGTATAATCTTTCTTTTGAACATCATTTCGCATTATTTCATGAACTTCACCATATTCTGGGTATTTGTTTAACTTAGTAAAGGGTAATATATAATCATCAAACAAATTTCTTAACTCACAGCATTTATCACAACCATAGTAACCTACGATCTGATTTTTAAAGCTATGTAAGATATCGCATTTGCCTAATAGTATTTTCTGTATGTTCTTAACTGGGTTACACTTATCACATCTATTGAAATAATCAAATTTGTGTATCTGATTATACAAATATGTTTCATCATATTCACTCTCACTTTCATATTCGCTCTCACTCATTACCACGATAATATATAAGTTGTTATTTCTTTAAGTCATTTTCCTCAGAAATATTATTTTCTTAAGATTTACTGCATCGCGGTTTACTTGACAGATTTATCCAAGCATTCAGAGCAAGTCGCAATGTATTTAACATAATAATAAGAATGCTTACTGTACCAGCACAATAGCAACGCTTAAAACAATCATATTTTTGTCTTGCTTACAACGATAACACTTCCTAGTAACAACATTATTTGTTTCAGTATATGGTTCAAAATCAACTAATATCTTATCTACTTGTATTGGCATTATTATTATTATATACACTTTTTCATAATGCGATATTATGAAAATTTGCAGTGGTTCCTTAAGATTTAACAAAACTAATTACGAATTAATGTCATTACCAAACTCTTATGGTTTGCCTATGAACCTGTAGAACTTGCTAGGCACACGGGGGCATTGGCTCACTTCCTTCTTCTGTTTTGATTGGGGGTTTTTTATGCCAAGATGGCCTGTCATTATACACGATATTTTAATCCATAATATTTAAATTATTCTTACAAAATATTTACATCTTTGTCTATCCTTTCAACATCCTCCTCCACTTTTTCTAGTCTCTCTTCTGGCGCAGGCTTTCTTGATCCAAATCCGGTTGTCACTGTATCAACACCTTCATTATCTGTTGAACTTGTTTTAAATATGTCGTTTTCATCGGGGGTTATTCCTCTCCCCATCTTCCAACTGCTTCTGTCTTCAATTATTGTTTTACCTTCATTGTTTATCTTAGTTTCTTTGTGAAAAGTCTTTCTTCTGCATTTACAGGGCAAACAGTTTAACCCATCCGTGTTCAAGTGGAAGCCACCTTCATTAGATTCCCTATGATTGTCGTTCATTATACTTTCTTAGATTTTTTTAAATACTCAAGAACTGCTTTAAGCAATTCTAAAGAAGCGGTGCAACACCGTTTAAGCTTGGTATCTTGTATTACAATCTTCTCAATTTCTTCAATCTCCTCTATCGTTTCCAAATACTTATCCATTATATTAAAAGATATTTTTCTCTTATTAGTTAATGAGTGCAGAAATACCCAAAGTGGAACCGATAGACATACCCGAATATAAATATAAAAACAGCAAGTTTGACATGATGCCGAAGCTACCCGCGCGGATGTTATGCGTGGCTTCTTCAACAGGCGGTAAAACAGTATTGATCCAGAACTTGATATTAAAAATATACAGAGGATCCTTTGAGAGAATATACATCTTCTCGCCCAGTGTTCATGTTGATGACACTTGGTCGGCAGTAAAGAAATACATAAGAGATGTAATGAAGGTGGATAAAGAAAAAGAACAGCTTTATTATGAGGAATACGATCCGGTGGCACTAAAGAAGATCATAGACACCCAACATAAAGTAATAGATTTTCAGAAG